CACAGACGAGGCTCCCGCCTGAGACTTCCTCCATATTCAGGCTTGAGGAGCCCAAAAGTGACGACAGTTACAGGGTTCCGATGACCCGCTCGGATTACCAACATAATCTGCGGGCCCCATAGGGAGGGAGCTCCCGCCTGAGACTTCCTCCCAATTCACTCACAGACGAGGCTCCCGCCTGAGACTTCCTCCATTTTCAGGCCTGGGGAGCCCAAAAGTGACGACAGTTACAGGGTTCCGATGACCCGCTCGGATTACCAACGTGATCTGCGGGCCCCATAGGGAGGGGGCTCCCGCCTGAGACTTCCTCACACTTTACTCAACGATGATGAGGATGAGGATGATGAGTGGTGGTGAAGATGAGTGGTGAAGAGGATGATGATTGATTGTGGGTGGTGGTGGCGATGATGATGTTTGAATGAGGATGATGCCGATACCGATGATGACGATGATGTTCGTGAGCGTGTGAGAGAGTGCGAGTGATGATGATGTGTGTGTGTGTGAATGAGTGCGAGGAGAAGAGGGGGTGAGTGAGATCTCTCTCCTGCGCGGGGGTGTGCAGAGAAAACAAGAACCCCACTTTGGATATGGGGAATAGAAAATGACATTTCTTGTTCTAATATAATCAAATTTCAAGAATCCCTTGCAAAAAATAAGGTAAAGTGGACATTCGCGCGCGCAAGACGAAATCCTTCCAAAACCTTAGTGTTCGCAGCGATTTTAACATAAAAACATCAAAAAACCAATGGTTTTTCAACAAAAAATTGTCAAAATCTCATCCCGCGCGCTCTTGCGGATTCGTAGGAAACCCAACACTTTTTAAACATTTCTGTCAAACGGGCTTTTGCGAGCAACTTTTTCGAACTTCTGCGACAACGGTTGCGCACCTGCCAGGGCCATCATCCCTGTCAAATAATACCATGCGGGACACATTCGTTTTTTCTTCGCGCGCGCACGCCGTCGTCGTCGGCCGCGGGGCCCTGAATAGTAGCCACGGTCGTCCGCATGCCACGAAGTGAAGTGTCCGAACGTCATAGGGCGGGAAGCTGGGTGTGGGTGGTGGCGAAGAGTCGTTTGGAAATTTGGTAGAGCTTGAACCGGCCCCCCCACAAAGTGGGGGTATTGCCCGCCTCCTATGAAAACCCTGGCACTGGTGAGAACGGAGTGTCCCCACGTGCTAGTAATTGTTGTTGTTGTTGTTGTTGTTGTTGTTGTTGTTGTTGTTGTTGTTGTTGTCGTGTGTGCGCGCGTGTGTGTGTGTGTGTGTGTGTGTGTTATGTGTGTGTTGTGTGTGTGTGTGTGTGTGTGTGTGTGTGTGTGTTGCGCGTTTGTGTTGCGTGTCTGGCAACTTCCACCGCACCGCAGTCTCGTCCTTCCACCTTTCCCCTCATCATCCGCGCCTAGATGGCTTGTGGCCGCTGCGGAACACTAGACGGTCTCTGAAGGCTCGGACATTCTTAGTCGCGCTCGCGTGTTCGCTGCTTTATGACCTTTTTCGCCGTGCCGCCGCGCGCAGGGCTGCGACACCAAAAGTGCGTGTTGTGTGTGTGTTGTGTGCGTGTGTGTTTGCATTATGTGTGTGTGTGTGTGTGTGTGTTGTGTCTGTTGTGTGTGTGTGTGTGTGTGTGTTTGTGTATGCGTGTGTGGTGCGTTTGCGTCCGAAGGAAGGAGTCCAGCTGACACGGGCGCTCCGACCCAGCCGTGGGGACCGCGCCGCCAGAGAGCGGGGCCTTGAGCCGCGCAGGCGGTGGCCTCCGGGCCAGCCTGGGCTGGGGCACCGGTTGGCGGGCAGCTCTCCTCGCGCGACGCTCGCGGGCGCCGGGGTTCTTGCGAAACGCTGTCTGTCAGTACACCACTCGGCGGCGAGCCCAGGGGGAAAGTGAGAAAGCGGGCCTTCTCAGAAGGCTCGGGGGCCCCCCAGCCTTATGAGAAGTTTTGTAAGCCTGCCCCGGAGACACAGAAAACCTTTCAAAAGGCCGGAGGCCTTCTCAGAACCACGCCGCCTCTGAGAAGGCCTTCTCCTTCTCACTTCCCCCTCGTTCGCCGCCGATGTCAGCTCTCCAGGCACGCGGGCCGGGGGATCGGTCCTCGGGGGCCTCGGCAGGCGTTGATGTGGATGCATTCGGGCTCCCTGGGGCCAACACCGCCTGCTGGGGTCCCCACGCCTTGGGTTCGCACGAGGTGGATATGGATGTATCCGCAGCCCAGCGAGGATGGCTCTAGCCAGGTCGACCCCTCGCAAGGCTTTGCACGCTCCAGGCATTTGATCGTCTTCTTATTAATCTTTTTGCCGATCGGCGCGGGCCCTCGCCCCCCCCCCTCCCCTCCCTCCCCGTGGAGTAGATCTTGGCTGTCTTTTGGCGCCCGTTTCGAGCGGGAGGCGTCTCCCTTAGGGGACGCACGGTCCCAAGCAGTCGCACGAAGCAGAGGTCCAGAGCCAGACCCCCCCTCCCCCCCCCTTGCCGCCCAATGTCGAAGCGCCGAGTAGAAGAAGCGCTCACCAGGTCGACCCCTCGCAAGGCTTCGCACGCTCCGGGCATGCGCAGCGTCCACCGCGCCCACAGAACGACTGCACACCGCTTCGCGAGGCTCCGCGCGGCTTCCTTGCCTCGGCGCCGCCCCCCCCCCCCGTTCCTGGGCGGCGCGTCCGGCGCCGCCCCCTGGCGCGCTCCCTGCGCCAGGGAGGGGGGGGGGGGTCCTGCGCCGATCCAGGAGCCCCGCGCGGAGCTGCGAGGAGTGATGCCCACGTGCGGGGCCGCGGGCGAGCCCGGGCGGCCCCAGGAGGGTCCAGGATGGCTCTGGGCAGGGCCCCGGAGAGAGAGGAGCACCGTGGAAGTGGTCGGGTGTTCGTGCATGTTCTGCGCTCCCCTTCTCGGCTCGGGGTGGCTCCAAGAAGGACCTCTGGGGGCCGCACGCATCGGGATTGTGTGTGTGTGTGTGTGTGCTGCACCGTGCTCCAAACCGTGAAGGCTCGTATGGGAAAATGGCACAGCAAGCGTCGTTAGACGACAGCGCTGGTATCTGCATATGCACACTAGCCTCTGCGCGTACGATTGCAGACGGACTGACGCGCTGGCAATAGGATCCGCAACCTACAATGCGCACAGGAATGCATCCGCAAGGTGAGCATTTCTCCAGTCAGGCTTACCTGAGGGACTCTTGTATGCTCTGTGAATAGAGCGGGTGGGCGCGGGGCCGATATAGTGAGGGGGCCCCCGGCGCTCCTCGGCTCCCTGGTCTTGGTTCTTTGCTGCCCTCCTCGGGCTCCATGGCCTTGGGTCCTTGCCTTCCCCTGGTTTCTCGGTCTTCCTTGCTTGCTGCCTTCCCCGGGTTCTTTGGCTTTGATTCCCTGCTGCCTTCCCCCGGTTTCTTGGTGTTGGTTCTTTGTTGCTTTTCTCGGGTTCCTTAGCCTGGACTCCTTTCTAAACAATGCCAAGCCAAGCCATGCCAAGCGAAGCCAAGCAATGCCAGTCACTGCCATGCAATGCCACTCCATGCCAAGCGATGCAAAGCAATGGTTTGCGTTGCATCGCTTTGCATTGCTCAGATATTCCGCCAGAGAAAAATATACACAGACACCCTCCAATGTATTGTTCTTGGGCCGCAGGGGAGGGTGGCGGTGTACAACTCACCACTGAGGGCCAGCGGCTTTATACACCGCCACCCTCCCTGAAGGAACATGCAACGTTCGTCGGAGGATGTCAGTGTATCTTTCCGTGGCGAAGATATGTTTTGATTTGCTTTTCGGAAGAAAGCAAGACCCCCAACACGGTCGCGGCTGGTGCGTTTTTCCCGCGTGGGCTTGCCGAGAAGGATCTCACGGTCTGCTTGCTAGCTCCCTCGCTACGGGTGCCCTGGGCTCGCGGTGTCCCCCCCCCCGGGCAGCTCCCGTGAACATCGCGTGCTCCCCCCGTGCGTGCCCGTCGGCTGCAGTGCGCACCGCGCGGCCACCGCTCATCGGCGGTAAAAAACCCTAGCCCTAACAACACAGTGAAGACGTTGCCTCGCTGAGGTCCCCGTCTTCGCATCCGGGGTACACAGATCTGGGCGGGCTGATTCGATGCACCTGCAGGAAAGACCCCGTCACGTCTTTGGCTCTCCCAACGAAAGGTCCCCTGCCCAGAGGGTCAGGGGGGTCCTTTTGATGAGCCTGTTTTCCACCACCACCACCATAAGTTAGAAGGGAAAAGGAGGAGGACGAGGAGGAGGACGAAGAGGAGGAGGAGGAGGAGAGGAGGGAGGAGGAGGAGGAGGAGGAGGAGGAGGAGGAGGAGGAGGACCCCCCTCCAACTTATGGTGGTGGTGGTGGAAAACACGCCAGGGGGGTCCTTTTGCCGCTTCTGGCCAGGAAGCCCCCTCCAGGAGTGCCCGCTCGCGGAGGGCAGCCGTCGCGCTGTGCCGGGGGTGCTGCCAGGAAGAGCCCGCTCCACGCATGCCCGCCGGCCTCGGGCCTACTCCCACACCGTGCTGCCCGCGGTGCTCGCCGAGCGCGTTGCACTGCTCGCAGAGTGCCTCCTCGCAAGCGCCCAGCCCGAGAAGCCCACGCTCGCCTCGATGTGATACATCGTCAATCCCCCACGGCGGATCCAGGCCATTTGCGAGCAGTGACTCTGCGAGCAGCGGAGCGCGCTCGTCGAGCGTTGCTGCCGGGGAGCTCGCCGGCAGCAGGCTCAGCCCAGGCCGTGCCCGCCCGCGGCTGCGGCTGCCCTCGCGCTGCGGGCGCTGTGCTGCCAGGAGGCGGCCCAGTGCCACGACGCCCGCCCCAAGCGTGCCCACGCTGCGTGGTCAGCGCAGGCCGCGTGGCCAGCGCAGGCCGCGTGGCCAGGACGCTCGCTCCGAGCGTGCCCGCTCGCTTCGGGCGCGCATCGCGCTTCTGGCGGCGTTCTCCAAGCAGGCCTGCCGCTTGCCTGGAGGTCTCGGAATGGCTGCCAGCAGCAGTGGGCGTTCTTGGGCCATGCAGAGCCATGTGGGCACGTGGTCAGGAAATCGCAAGGCCACGCAGTCACAGCCGTTTTGGCTCAGGCCCGTGTGTGGGCGAGCGGAGCTCTGGGAGGGCTGGACATGGCTCCCGCCCAGACTGCGGCGGAAGAGGCCGAGGCCGCGCTGGAGGAGGACCTTCCCGATGAGGTGTCGAAGGAGGAGATCCAGCGGCGACTCGACCTGGCAGACGATGTGCACATTGAGACTCTCAACGAGGCGTCCCTGAAGAGGATGGTGCTGCAGTTCGAGCGGAAGGTCAAGGTGAACCAAGAGTTGCGAATAAAGCACGCGGAAGAGCCAGACAAATTCCTCAAGAGCGAGGTGGATTTGGACGAGGAAGTCAAGAGATTCACACAGCTCGCCACGCATCCCGAACTGTACGCAGAGTTCATCAAGCTCGGCGGTCACAATGCATTAATCGGCCTGCTCAACCATGCGAACACTGACATCGCAGTAGATGTCTTCGAGGTGCTCAGCGAACTGACGGACCCAGATGTAATAGCGGAGGTCGAAGCCCCCGAGGCTTTTGTCACGTCGCTCTATGAGGCTCACCTCTGCCAGATGGCCGTTGATTGCCTCCTGCGCATCAACGAGGAGGCCAGCGACGAGGACGCTCAGGCTGTCACGAATTGTCTCACCATGGTGGAGAATCTTGCTGGAGTCAGCCCGACGGAGAGCTGCGACCGATTCTCCAAGATTCCAAAGTTTCTGCCCTGGCTCATCAAGCGGGTGCGCGCTCAGGGCGACGTCGATTACAACAGGGTCTACGCCTCTGAGATCCTGGGGATCATCCTGCAGAACTCCTCGTCTAGCCGGGAGGCGATGGTGAAGCTGGAGGGGGTCGATAAGCTCCTGCGCGGCATCGCTGCGTACAGGAAGCGCGACCCCTCGGACAGCGAGGAGTCGGAGTTCGTGCAGAACATGTTCGACTGCCTCTGCTCGCTGATGTTGATGCCGGTCCACCAGGTGGCTTTTGGCAAGTTGCAGGGTCTGGAGTTGATGATCCGCATGATGCGCGAGCACGTGTTCAGCTCGCCGCTCGCCTTGCGCCTAGCCGACCACGCGGTCCGGCACTGCGCCGCGAACTGCGAGATCTTCGTGGACAAGCTGGGCCTGAAGGTGATCTTCGCGATGTTTATGAAGAAGGGCCCGAGGCAGAAGGCCAAGGCTGCGCAGCGAGAGAGCGAGGAGCACGTCCTCTCCATCATCCAGTCGCTCTGCCGCTACTGCTCCGGCACCGCCGTGGCGCGCGTGCTCAACAAGTTCACTGAGTGCAGGTTCGAGAAGCTGGAGCGCCTGCTGGAGATTCACGAGGAGATGGCGGAGGCCGTGCGGCGGGCGGACCACGCGAGGGCGCAGGGCCAGATGCAGGCTATCGACAGGGAGTTCGAGGTCGACGAAGAGGAGCAGCTGTTTTTGGATCGGTGCGACGCTGGACTCTTCACCTTGCAGCAGGCGGACCTGATCCTCGTGCGGCTGGCGAACATGGGCAACAGAGAGGCAACCGAGGAGATCGGGAAGCTCATGGACGCGAAGGGAGTGCCCCTGTCCGAGGTCGTGGAAACAATTGCGGAGTATTGTACACACCTCGACGATTCCGCCGAGGAGGAACGGTCAGAGATTCAAGCCTTTCTGAAGAATTTGGCGAGAAGATGCGGTGGCGATGAAGCGGTAAAGGCCCTTGAAGCTGTGCCTGGTGCCGCATCGTGCGCCACTGCACGTAGCCGTGTCAGTGAGAAACGGCCTTTGGAGACCCCTGAGGCGGACTCCGTGAACGCCGAGAGAGAAAGAGAGGAGCAAAGGCGAACAGTCCCACGCAAAGACGATTCCTCTCGCGATTTGGAGAAGGACGAGAGGAAGGACAAGAAACAGAAAAAGGAGAAGTCTCGCAGAGGCTGAGGCTGCACAGCGCGGACCAGACGCCTTCGCCGCAAAAGTTCCGTACAGAAAATCCCCGCATGGATGCAGACAGGTGCATACACACACACGCATCATGCCAATCTATTTTTTGTTATATATATATATAAAACTATACGTATGTATGTAGATAGAGCGAAGACGCCTACGACGAATCACCGCCGCCCCCTGCCTTTTTCGCAAGCGCCTATGTGGCCAAGCGTCCAGGCCAGGGGCCGGCCAAGCTATCGGACAACGTGCTCCCCCAGCCGTTGTGGAAGCCCTCCAGTGAACACGTGGGGGAACACGGATCAATCCTAATAATACAAATAACAAGAATATACGAAAACTAAGAATCAGAAGACGAATTCTGATACGAATAGAGAGATTAAGACTCATCGCTCAATAAGATGAGAAGGAGAGGGAGGGGACGGAGGATGAGAAAGAAGAAGAGGCCTCTTGAGGCCCTCTTGAGGCCTCCTGGGGGCTTCCTGGGAGCTTTTTTGGGGGCTCTAAGCGGCTTCTTGGGAGCCTCCCCGCTAGATCTTTCGAAGCCAAGAGGGCCCCAGGACGGGCCAAGAGGGCCTCCCTCAAGACGGCTCAAGAAGGCCCGAATCGTCGAACGACCGCCACTAAGACGCCTAGGATGACCCCAAGACGGCCCAAGAGGCCTCCAAGACTCCCCAAGATGCATCTTAAGATGGCCCCAAGAGGCACCCATCAACGATTTCCTTTTTGGGTTTTCAGGAATTTTGGCCTTCTCGCCCTCTCGGCTCCCCGACGCTCCAAGACTGCCCGACGAGGCTCCCAATGTCGATAAGTCGGGCATGTCCCTCTACAGGAGGAATATTCGAGAATAGTAAGATGATAGCTTGGGGACGATCTTCCTTGCTAATCTGACTATTTGTGACTACTGCTTGGCTATTTTTTATGGTTGTTGCAAAACCCGCCTGTTGGAGGACATGGAGGGGAAATCCGAGCGGTCATTTCCTCCTCCTCCTACTCCTGCTCCTCCCCGTCCTTCTCCTCAAACCCTCGGCCCCGAGAGGCCCCCAGGAGGCCCCCAAGAAGCCACCAAGAAGCTTCCAAAGGGCCCCAAGAGGCCCCCTAGAGGCTCCCGGGAGGCCCCCCAAGTGGCCCCCCACCCAAGAGCCCCCCAAGGGGCCCCAAGCCTGCCCCCCCGAGACCCCAGAGAGCGTTGCGACGAGGTCCCAGTACGCATCCTCGAGACCTCTGACCTGGCAACCCAGGCACGGTGTAGATGTATGCAGACGTGCATACATGCAGGCATGCATACATCTGTATATGCTTAAGTCGGGCCTGTCCCTCCGAAGGAGGAATATTCAAAAACAGTGGAAAATAGCATGGGGACGTTTTTTGGAGTATGTTGGGGCACGTTTTGTGTGTGTGTGTGTGTGTGTGTGTGTGTGTGTGTGTGCTTTTTTTGGAATGATTTATAATGTTTCGCCCAAAATCCGCCTGTGGGGGGACACGCCCGACTTAAATGTATGCACGTGTTTGCACCACCGTGCCGTAGGCACCGAGTATAGTACCATCAGGTCCCTCAGAGTCCATTGCATCAACAATTCGAATGTTGTACATGATCTTTCAAGGGGGCCATACCCGAACGTCTCAGATTTCCCTGGCTTCTCGCGTGACTCCCGGGGTGCATCGCGGGGTCGTTCCTGAGGCCAGAGAGTTCCAATTCGGGACAAGAGGCTCCCCAAAACGCCCCAGGACGGTCCAAGAGGTCCCGATACGGCGCAAGCGTGCGCGCGCTCCAAGACTGTCCAAGATGGCCTCCAGACGGCCCAAGAGGACCACGAGATGCCCCACGAGGTCTGCGCGAGGACCCCCCAGAGGGCCTCGACAGGCACTTGGTGTTTGAAGGGGGCACTCGTGGTTTCGAGCTTCAAGACCGCAAGGCTGCCCAAGAGGCCTCACATTTAGCCTCAAGACGGCCCCAGACGACCCCAAGAGGGCCCCAAGACTGCCCACGATAGCTCCAAGACGCTTCAAGAGTGGGCCAAGAAGGGGAAAACGAAGGGCCCTTAGGAGCCGGTCCCCCAAGTATTGCCCCCAAGACCCCCAACATGCTCCCAAATGCCCAAACCGCCCGAGAGGCTCCGAGGCCTCCCAGAGGCCTCAGTGGAGCCCAAGATCGACCCGAGGGGCCCCAAAAAGGTCTCCAAGACTGCCCAAGAGACCTCCGAGGGTTCCTCCCGAATGCCCGACGAGTCCAGATTGATTGTCGTTCCGTAGGTTTTTGGATGATGCTGGCATTTAGTTTTCCCAACCATCCTGTGGTGTTGGGTCCTCGTTTTGAAGAAACGGTCCCCGCGTTCTCCTTCTTCTTCCTCCTCCCCCTCCTCCCTCCTCCCCCTCCTCATCAAGGCCCCATAGGGTGCTCCACCGAAGGCTTCAGTGGGACCGCCTGCATGCGTCATGGGGGCTCCACCGAAGGCCCCAGTGGGACCGCCCGCATGCGTCATCCACGACCCAGCACAGCGTTTTGTGGCCCCAGAAAGAGCTCCACCGAAGGCTCAAGTGGGACCGCCCGCATGCGTCATCCACCACCCAGTGCAGCGTTTCGTGGCCCCATAGGGGGCTCCACCGAAGGCCCCAGTGGGACCGCCCGCATGCGTCATCCACCAACCAGTACTGCGTTCCGTGGCCCCATAAGGGGGTCCACCGAAGGCCCCAGTGGGACCGCCCGCATGCGTCATCCACCGCCCAGCACAGCACTTCGTGGCTCATAGAGAGCTTCACCGAAAGCTCCAGTGGGACCGCCCGCATGCGCCATCCACTGCCCAGTACAGCGTTTCGTGGCCCCATAGAGGGCTCCACCGAAGGCCCCAGTGGGACCGCCCGCATGCGTCATCCACCACCCAGCACAGCGTTTCGTGGCCCCATAAGGGGCTCCACCGAAGGCCCCAGTGGGACCGCCCGCATGCGTCATCCACCACCCAGTATAGCGATTCGTGACCCAATAGGGAGATACACCGAAGGTTGGGAAGACGAACCGTCAGAAGGTATGGAAGAACATGGTGACTCCTGGGATGTGTGTGCATTTACTTGTGTGTCCCAGGGCCCCTTGAGTTTTGCCAGTCTTCTTAGTGCAATTCTAGACGCTTCGCGTATCCCCACCAGCCCGTCCAGAAACGACGCCCAGGCGAGTAGAGGGTCGTCCTGAGGGGCTTTTCGGCGTCTTGGGTGCCTCGGGGGGGCCTCTGTGGGCCGTTCGGGATCCTCTTTGGGGCCTCCTGGGGGCCTCTTGGGGCCTCTTGGGCCATCTTGGGGCCTTTGGGGGCCTCCTTGGCGCTTCTTGGGGCCATCTGTGCCCCCTCAGGAGGCCCCCCAAGAGGCCAAACAATGGTTGGACATTGTCGCCGAGGCCTCTGGAAGCACCTTGGGTGCCTCTGGGGGGTCTCCTGGGGGCCTCTTGGGGGTCTCTTGGGGGCCTCCTGGGGGCCTCTTGGGGGGCCTCTTGGGGCCATCCTGGGGCCATCCTGCGGCCTCTTGGGGCATCCTGGGGGCCTCTTGCGGCCATCGTGGAGGAAATCGATCAAAAAAGAGGGGAGCTTTAATTAGCCCTGCCCCCTCAGAAGGCCAACATGGGGCCCAAACCATAGTAAAATCAATGATTTTAGCTTCCTCGCCGAGGCCGTTTTGGACGCTCTGACCGCTCCCCGCCCCTCCTGTCCAGGTCAGTGGGGAGGGGGTAGAGGGATGGGTAAACCCCTCCCCGAAGGGGAAGAGGGAGGGGTGGAAGAGGAAACGCCCTAAACCACCGACGCCCAGAGGGCTGGTGGGATTATGGGAAATATTGTAACGATGTGGAAAAAGGAGAAAGAGGGGGAGGGGGATGACGGAGGAGGAATAATAGGTAGGCGAGGGGGAAGGGGATCCTGGAGAGCTCATATGGCCACTTGGAATCGTCCTGGGACGGTCTTGGAGCGTCTTGGAACATCTTCGGAACCATCTTGAGGCAGGTTGCGATATCTGGAGCCAGCCTGTTGGAATCGTTTTGGAGCAGTCTTGGAACGTCTTGAAACATCGTCGGAGCCATCTTGAGGCAGGTCGCGCAATCGCCAGCCATCTTGGAAGGTGTTTTGGGCTTCCCGAGGCTCTCAGGGAGCCGTCTTGGCCCATCTTTGACGACCTTGTGAGCCTCTTGGGGGCCTCTTGGGCGTCGTTTGGGGCGCTCTTGAAGCGCTCTTGGAGGCCTCAGAGGCGCTGGTAGAGCCATGTTGGAGGGGATCTGGCAAAGAAAGCGGAAGCATTTTTTAGCGTCGCCCTTGTAGAGCCTTTAAAATCGCCTCCTGAACCCTTCTTGGGGTGTTCTTGGAGCGTTCGATGCCGCTCTTGGCGCCGTCTTGGGGCTTTCTTGGGCCCCTTTTGGAGCTATCTTGAGCCATCTTAGAGCCATTTTGACGCCTCGGATGTGCATCGCAAGCGAAAACGTGAGAACACCAAAATCATTGATTTTCCCTAGGGTTTTGAAGCATTTTGGCCTCTTGGATGCATCCTAGTGATGCTCTTGTGAGTACTTGGAACCGTTTTGGGAAGCTCTTGGAGCGTCTTGGAACATCATGGAGGCCATCTTGAGGCATCTTGCGCTATCTTGAGCCATCTTGGAGGTCACCTTGAGCTCCCTGAGGCCCTCTTGGAGCCGTGTTGGGCCATCTTGGACGCTCTAACTACCCGCGCCCCCCCTGTCCAGGTCAGTGGGGAGGGGGTAGGGGGAGGGGTAAACCCCTCCCCGAAGGGGAAGAAGGAGGGGTGGAAGAGGAACCGCTCTAAACCACCGACGCCCAGAGGGCTGGTGGGATTCGTCACATCGCTCTGCCCCCCCGTCGGGGACCGAGCGTCCTTTTTCACAACCATCCTGTGGTGTTGGGTCATCCTTCCTTCCTTCCATCCTTTTATTCCTTCCTTCCTTCTTTCCTTCCTTCATCCTCTTCCTCCTCCTCCTCCTCCTCCTCCTCCTCACACGTTTCGTGGCCCCATAGGGAGCTCCACCGAAGACCCCAGTGCCACCGTCCACATGCGTCCCCCACCCACTTCGGCACGCCCCTCACACGCTTCGTGGTCCCATAAGGAGCTCCGCCGAAGACCCCAGTGCCACCGTCCACATGCACCCCCCCGCCCACTTCGGCACACCCCTCACACGCTTCGTGGCCCCAAAGGGAGCTCCACCGAAGGCCCCAGTGCCACCATCCACTTGCGTCCTCCCTCACTCACTTCGGCACACCCCTCACACGTTTCTTGGCCCCATAGGGAGCTCCACCGAAGGCCCCAGTGCCACCGTCCACATGCGTCCCCCCTCACCCACTTCGGCACACCCCTCACGCGTTTCGTGGCCCCATAGGGAGCTCCACCGAAGGCCCCAGTACCACCGTCCACATGCGTCCCCCCTCACCAACTTCCACATGCGTCCCCCACGCCAACTTTGGCACACCCCTTACACGTTTCGTGGCACCAAAGGGAGCTCCACCGAAGGCCCCAGTGCCACCGTCCACATGCGTCCCCCACCCACTTCGGCACACCCCTCACACGTTTCGTGGCCCCATAGGGAACTCCACTGAAGGCCCCGAAGGCCCTAGTGCCACCGTCCACATGCG